ATATACGTGCAATCGAAGGAAACTCTCAAAAGATTGAGAGGTTGAAGCCTGCACCCCTAACCATTCCTCCTGAACACTCCACACCCCAATATTTTGCATTTCCCCTGGCAAGAGGACTTCAAGAGCTGGCCTACTCTCTCAGGAAACCTAGAGATTAAGGGACTTAAAAGAGATTAAAAACAAAAACAAAAACTTTCTTATAACTGGGGATGTCTAAATACGGACTGAATGATAGATAATATTTATAGAATTATTGTCAACTTTCTTAGGTGTGATAATAGTATTCTAGTTATGTAGGGGAAAAAATCCCTATTCTCAGGAGATACATGCAGAATGCTTAAGGGGTGAATGGTTCTAATATCTGCAACTTTAAAATGGTTCATCAAAAAAATATATATAGGGCTTCCCCGCTGGCGCAGTGGCTAAGAACCCGCCTGCCAATGCAGGGGACACGGGTTCAAGCCCTGGTCTGGGAAGATCCCACATGCTGCAGAGCAACTAAGCCCGTGTGCCACAACTACTGAGCCTGCACTCTAGAGCCCACAAGCCACATCTACGGAGCCTACATGCCACAACTACTGAAGCCCACGCGCCTAGAGCCTGTGCTCCGCAACAAGAGAAGCCACCGCAATGAGAAGCCCGTGCACCGCAACAGAGAGTAGCCCCCGCTTGCTGCAACTAGAGAAAGCATGCCCACAGCAAAGAAGACCAATGCAGCCAAAAATAAAAAAATAGGAGCTGGAAGACAGCAGCAGCATCTTCTGGAGTGACAGAACCTTCAGGCACTATGGCAAGGCAGATGAGGGCCATGAAGGGGTTCTGCGTTTTGAGGCAGGAGCAACATGAAGTTGAACTTCCACTTACATTCTAGCCCAGGAAATTATTCTCAAGCAATTGCCTTTGCCTGTCTTGTGCTCTTTGTTGCAACGACAGAGAAACCCACACTAGTTCTATCATCACTACACCCTTTCAAACAAACAAAACCTCACTGGCCTGTAAAACTTACTTCCCAAACCTGTTCAGTATCTTTGCCATGTCACATGACACACACCAGAAGGTAGAGGCTAAAAATAAATCAATCGGCATTTATTACTACTCAGTTGGCATGAGTTGTTTCTCACAGATTATGTGGCTATTTTTTTTTAAAAGGTTTTAAGTAATTCACAGCCAGGTTATTGCCACACAGTTAAGTGAACTAAAGGTGGAGAATACAGAAACTCCCAAGACACTTATGACCTTTCCCTTAATGACAACTTTTATTGAAATGATTTTAATTTATGGAAATGTTGACGAGTGAAGGAAGGTGATAGAACTAAGACAATATAGCAAATGTTTTACGCCAACACAGTGTTTTTAGACAGTGTTTTTTAAACTGTTAGAAAAAACAGGATTTCTACTCCTTTCAAAGTTTTATTTCCTTAGAATTGGGAAAACATGATTCCTAATCCAATATCCCCTGAAAATAGGAAAGGTGTAAAATGCCGTCACCTCTCCAGTTATATAGCTCTAGATATAGTTTTTATAACTAGTATGTGCTAATGGTATTTTCCCAATAAGATGATTGTTATCTGTGGTTCAAAAGATAATAGCTAACACCTGGTGCTCATTACATACCCAGACACTATTCTAAGTAGTTTACATTTTTCTCATTTTATTCTCACTAGGAATCCTATAAAGTAGGTACTATTATTATTCCCATTTACAGATGACAAAGTTGAGGCTTACAAGGAATTCTTATTTAGAATTACTTTTCCAAACACTTAGAGATTAAATTTCAAATACCGGATAACCTAGTCATACATGAATTCTAATCAATGTAGACTTATGAATGCAAAGCTTTCATACTGAATATAAAGTCAGTTTTACTCAATCATGCTACATTTTCTTACTGGCAAAGCGAGTAAAGAAATGTCTTATACTTGTTCTTAACTTGTGTTTCTGATTGATAGTTCCCCAAACTCTTAACAGAACAAGAAGCAGAGGAAAACAGGACTAATTCCACCTCTCTACCCAACCCTCAGGTATCCATTGTTTTTATTCTTCTAAACCTTTTGCATCATGCTAAGATTAATGCTTTAAAAATCAACTCTGCTGATCGGCACTAACTGGATAAATTGATGGCTCAACTCCCACAGCAGAAGAACGACAGGTAGCATGCTGGGGGAGAAAGCACCTGGAAGCCACCCAAAATGCCCTAGGTTAATTTACCCAAATCTAATCAATTCATGCATGAATCAAGGCCCAATTCCTGTCCTCCTCAAAGCCAGCTCACAAGGACTCTTCCCTGAGTTCTGAAAGAGATGCCACACAATTTCAGGTACCCTATGTCCTGATGCTAATCCTAACTCCTGTGAGCTTATCTCTATGACAGGTTTGTGAGCATCTTTTGTCACCATATGCTTTGAGTACCCAGTATCGTACTGAATATAGACATTGCAAAAATTCAGTAAGTACCTGTTTCATTAGGCTTTCTGGCTCAATACATACATTTGTACTGGTTGTGGCTGAGACTCTCCCTCAGGCTTGATTCACTTTTCGGCAACTAGGAAAATAGTTCTGCAGGAGTACTCAGTTCTCACAAGGTCACACAGTAAAATATAATCCAGAGTCCTAAGGCAATTGAGGCCACTTTCATTTTGTCAAATGTAATAAAACCAGAATGAGATTATTGCTCCCTTCCTCTTAAGGCAAAAATAGCTTTTTCCCACCCTCACTCTGGTTTACACTCCCTCATTATGTGACTTTTAATTTTAAGCATGAATGCTTTAACGCTGGTGTCACCTTAGACCCACAGTAGTTCTTATGTTCTCACAAGTGTGGCCAGAGGTCATAACCACAAAATGTAATAAAATGCTTGCTGAATCCAAACTGCCTACGTTTCTACTCTTGAAGTCAGGGTAAGTCATAAAATGACCATAAGGTCAAGTGGCCAAATAAGTACTGCACATTATAAACAGCTAACTACTTTCTGTTATTCATTCAAAATCATCAAAAGGACTACACTGGTAGGGGGTGAGGTCCTTAAAGTCTTTATGGAGAGGCTTAATGGCGGTAAGTTAGGAGATGCTGAAAGCAGTAAACCAATCTGACAAGGGATGAGGCTAGATAACACCCCTTCCAACTTGAAGATTCTAGAAAGTTGAACTTGTCAGAAAGCATGGGACAGCATTTAATTTATCTCAGGCCACCACTGCCTGAATAATTCTGAGGTTCCCCCAGCACTCAGTATTATCTGCGAATGGACCACTGAGTTATTTACTGGTCATCTCATTATCAAAGACAGGTATCATGAAGACTCAGAGCCCGGATGTTTACATAACTCATGTAAAATACAAGAGTCATAATGAATTACTGAGAAGAGAAAATAATGTATGCATTATCAAGGACTACACAAATGTATGATGGTGTTTTACCGGGCTTCTGAATTCCCAAAACTCTGTTGCCCCTTTCCAGTTAATGAGGAAGAGACTGGACTGTAAAAAATCAGTTCCTAGTACAAATTCACACTGAGGTTTTTGGAGCATATCCAATTTCCACGGCGACTGCATGAAGTACAGCAGCATAGTAGAAATCAATAGATCTGAAATTAGGACAGCAAGCATCCTCACTGTAAATAAAAAACTGGTAGTCACAGTATCCGTGCTTTCTCTCCACAAGCTCAGAATGAAAGAAGTCTCATATTCAGATCCCTGATTCTTTAAGGTGTCCCGTCCTGTCTTCCAAAGCCTTACTGTACGATCTCACTTTCTGGATTTATTTTTCCGGTTGTGGCAAGAATTTGTTTGATTTCCCACAGTTGTCAGTGGTTTTAAATCCTTGCCCAGAAACGTCACAGGAACGGACAATGTTTTCTACAGAATCCATCCACAGTTCCTGAATTTGAGGTTGGTGCGAGGAAAGATAAAGGAAAAGAGTTCGGGGGCTTTCAAGAGCAAGGGGAAGAGAAAAGAGCGGGATCAGTGATCTACTGGTGATCATGACTCCCGCCTTTGCTGGGAAGGACAGCCCCACAAGAGGCACTGCCCTGCTCCAGGTAGCTGTAGCTTAAGAACTGGTCCTCCATCATCCCCGAAGCTCCAGCGCTGGAGGCTGCCCAGGATCCCCCCAACCTCCCGGCACCTCATCTCCAGACCTCAGCAACAGTCGCCCTTGGTCCTGAGGCCAACCGGAGGCGCTCGGCCGCGTTTCCACCCCCTACCCGAACTCACAGCCAGTTTCCTTCTTGATCTCCTCGAGCTCTTCGTCCCGCAGTAACGTGGAGGCCCGGGACCCCATCACCGAGCCGGGAGCTCCTCCGGGAGCAGCGGCGCCAGAAGCGACAGCGGCGGCGGTAGGGAGGGAAGAAGGGGAGGAAGAACCAGGGGTCAAGAAGGGAGAGGGCAGTGGTTCTACTGTGGACTGGGAAGGGAACCCAGGGGTGGCGCGCGGGGGAGGGCGGCCCGGAGGCCCAGCCAATTGGGAATGAGGCTGAGCTCAGCGCCGGAGCCTACGTCGACATTCCTAGCTCCAGCCCCCGAATGAATCAGCCCAGCGCCAGGCCAGGTCTAGCTAAAGACGGACCACGCCCCCGGAAACATGATGCCACCGGCCTTAAAGGGGCAATTCTGACCCTAGCGCCCGCAATTAAAAGGGCAACGCCATTGACCCACTGTTTTACTACACAATAACGTGTGGCAGGCGGTGTAGCCAACCTGTTTCTCACAGAATTCTTACACTAGAAATCCCACCCTACGGTTGGCATGGATTGCGGAGAGAAACAATAAAAACAGACAAAACGTCGCTTGAGTGAACGCTAGGGTGTGTCTCCCGGGAACTGCATGCTGGGAGTTGCACCTCCTGATTCTTCCTGGGGGCCCTCTCTCCTCTCGGCCGCAAGGGGCGCTCGGGAGCCAGCCTCGGGACCGCGCGCCGATTGGCTCCTCGGGAAACAGACGGGACGTCTGGTTCAGGCCGGCTGGCGTCCGACTTGTAGAGTGGGTTCCCAGCGCTGCGTACTTTAGTTTTCGGGACTGTCCTTTGAAAACCGCCACTGCGGGCTTGGAACTCCCCGAGAGTTCTTCCTTAACAGCAGTCCCTCTTTTTTCACTTCAAGACTGAAGCTCGAGGAACTCACCATTTGGCTGAAATAGAGACAAGATTTCCCAAAGTTTCGTCGGAGGAAAAAGAAAAACCTAACGGCGGAGGAGAGAATTTCTAGCGTATGGCCCGCCGTTTATTTGAAGTTTCTTATTTTGCCTTAAAAACGAGGAAATTTGCATTTTGTTCCTGTGGCATATTTTTGTTTGTTTTCTTGAAAACATTTAAAGCCACCCGTTAAATTAGTACACCCTTTAAGGTGAACCAGTTCTTCTCCTGTGGCTTCAGTGCCTTTACACCCCTTACCCACCCCTCGAGTGTTACTTTGTACAGAACTGGTTTGAGTTATGGAAGAACTAAATTCTGACCGCTATCACTTAGTACTTAAGCACTAGAACCCTGTATTAGCGAGCTGGTCAAGTCAATTTAGGTTACTAGTCTTAAGCTTTACCTAAGGCTTTGACGGCTTAGCAAAGATACTGAGGTTCTAGTCTTACTGAATTGTTTTCACGATAGACTTACTTTTGTCTGACCTAATGATGTCTGCCTGAATAAGCAGAGTGTGACATGTTGGATATGCCCATCTAGGCCACAGGACCTTCTTTTTATTCTGAGAGCGTAAGTATGGTAGAAAAACCTGTGATGTCACCGACGTGAATGTCCATTTTCTGAGTCTGTCTTGAAGCCCATCTCTAGGTGCTGACCTTACTCGCTCTTTCCTAATCTTGAATCTTTTTTTTTTTTTTTTTTTTTTTCGGTCCGCGGGC